AGAAAAATGATTGTGGTGTTTTAAGAAAAATATGTCATTTTTTTTATAGTTAACTAACTTACCTAACTTCCTTAATCTAATCAAATTAGTTAAATGGGTCTTATATTAAGGACCGGAGGAGTAGTTCATCAGTTATTCATAGGATGCTTCGAAGCCTTGCATTCTGAGTTGGATCGATTCAAATGCTTTTCATGCAAGCCACATTGTTTTATTGATAATGGCAGTGTGAATATCAAGATTAAGACAAAATTATTGGTTAATCCTGCAACCTAAGTGGGAGATTGAGGAAGTTCAACCGTTTAGCACAGCCAGCCACCTACATACAGTCAAAAGGGAAAATAGGAAAAATAAGAAAGACACAGCGCAATCACTAGAGCACCTTATGACATACTAGCATTTGAGAGGCCTGCATTCTCCCCACTGTCCATCCTTGCCTGGCACCTTTCCATACCTCCACCATATGTTAGAGTTCTTTATGTTGTTGCCCCCCTCTCTTGCCAACTTACCCTTTGTATCTGTCTTTCTTTCTGCCATAAACTTGGGCTGGCATTCCAAGACCAATGCTATTTGCATACCCATCGGCTTTATGCCTTGTTCTTTTTGGGATGAGAATTAGTAGCATGAATTTGATCTCACATTTGTGTGTCTATTTATATTCTTGACGCACATGGCCCTGGCTTGCACCTGAGTTAATTATCAAGTTCGACTTTGACTTGCATTTTCTTAAGCCTCATATTACTCATGAACATACTTCTTGATGTTTGTAAGCACTTGAAACAGCCATTTTTTTTTTTTTTTACAAAATCTTATTTTGACATGGAATTATGAACATTAATAACTGCACTATATTACATTTATAAGTCTCCAGAAACTATAAATGTAGCTGCATTCAAGTTAGAATGAAAAGAAGTGTGGCGGGGCAATTTGAACTCGGATGGAGTAACTGTATGGTTTGTGGTTGTTGTTGAAATGCTGCCAGACGTTGCACATGCATCCTGTAGCTCAACCACTTAATGGCGCTTTAACCTTGATGTGTGGCAGGGGAATGATGTGGGAACACAGTACAGATCTGGAATATACTATTACACTCCTGAACAAGAGAAAGCAGCCCGAGAGTCAATGGAAAGACAACAGCAGAAGTTAAACAGGAAGATCGTTACAGAGATTCTTCCGGCCAAAAAGTTCTACCGGGCAGAAGAATACCACCAGCAATACCTTGAGAAAGGAGGCAGGTTTGGTTTCAAGCAGTCTGCTGCCAAAGGGTGCAACGATCCAATTCGATGCTATGGCTAAGATTATGATTATGTGGGAGCAGAAGTATCAGTTCAGACCTGGATGCTGAATGTCTATAGCTTTGTGATAGTGAGTATCTGTTAATATATTCATAGAGCTTCTGAAAAATTCCTACTGTATTGTGTAGTTTAAGGTAGGTCATAAAATCAATTTGTAGAGATGATCATGTATTGGTGTGCGACAGTTGAAGTTCTTGTTTTGCCGGTGGAGTGGGAATGCTGCGTTATTTGAACCTATTTAATATTTTGGTAATGGCGTGTGTGATAGAAATAGAGGTGAGATGAATACTGTCCTGGAATTGAATGCAAGTGAGTTGATATGTCAGTTTCATTGGTTCATTTTCAGGCTGACTTTTCATGCAGTTTACTGTGGAACTTTGAGAAGGGAATAGTCCCCAAGGAACAAAGCAATAAATTGAATTTATGGTGGGTGGCAACTTTTTTTATTTGAGAGAGAAGTATTTCCCAAATTTTAAGAAAATGAAGTTGAGTCAAATAAGAACTTACTGGATGATACGAACTGTATTTCACTTCAATTATACTCGGTTTAAATAAATGGGGATTGTAATTAACATGTGTATGCATTGCCTTTGGGATTGTAATTAACAAATGAAGTTCAAAATAATACTATCTTGTTATGAACACAAATTCAAAGAGAAAGTCAGTTCTAAAATATTGGTATATTGGATATTAGAGTTTTTTGAATTGATATAAGACTTGTTTGGAATAGTTTATAAGTAATTTTTTATAGAATATGAGATAAGTATGTGAAAGAAATTTTGTCTTAGTTTAGATGAAATGTGTTTATAAATAATTTCAATTATGATAGCAAATATGGCCATATAAGCTTTGTGGCATGAGACTTATAAGGCCACTTCTTCTTTCTTTCTTCTTCTTGTTTTTTTTTTTGGAAATAATGACTATTTTTATGCATGGAATAAAGATCTAGCAGGCGGATTTTATTTTAATTTTGCCCTGCAAAAATTCTAATGGAACCTCGCCCTATTGATTTTTTTCAAGAAAAAAATTATGAGCAGCCCCCATGCCTGCGCTAGAAAGTGAAGTACAGAAACCATGATGAGGCATGGCCCGCGGTTACTATGGAGATTTTGTGGATTTCATCACAATCCTTTTTGCCCTTTTCATGCAACCACACTCCCCAAACACATACGACACAATAATAAATCAATTTGCTTTTTAAGGGAGCTCGCTAAGTTGGGATTAAATAGCCGTTTAGCCCCTCTTTTTTAAATTAGATTAAACCAAAAAGAAGACTAGATCTAAAGTCCCAACTCTCTTTTTTAAACAACAAAATAAGGAAAAGGTGAATATTTAATTAGTTAAAATAATTGGGGGGGGGGTTGTGTGTAACTGTGGGAGGCATTTAATTTTAGAGGGCCATGTGAGTGTGTGGCCTGTGGGTTTGTCGCACATGGGAAGAGGAGGCACATAGGAGAGACACGTGGCGAGGTGAGGGAGAGACACGTGGCGAGTCCCTCGGATGCCTTTGCGGAGGGATCCTAAATTATGGAACCGAACAAATAGAAGAGTGTACAGCCCACGCTGACGCTGCACGGCTGCCCCCTCCCCAGTGCACTTATCATTCATTCAAGCCCGCCCTTCACCAATGGTTTTCGGCGGTAACCCCGACAAACCCCCCCTCTTCTCCACGCTCTCCTGTCGCGCGTGTTGCCAACGTCGCTATTTTATCTTGCAATGAAATTTTAATATTACCCCATCCTATTATCAATCTATTCTTAATATAAGAGTTATTTAATTAATTTAGATAAATTAAAAATTTATTAAATAAATTTAAAATATTTATGTTTATTTTTTAGTCTAAATTAATTTGTCTCACTTATATATTGATAGGTAATACAATAATACATATAAGTATTTTAAAAAGATTATGTAGCATATACTATAATTAAGTAATCTAATAATTTTTTTAATCTTCTTAAATTAATCAAATCGATTTTATATTAAAGATTGGATGTACTGTAAGTGGATTTCTTTGGGAAAATTAACCATATATGCATGTTTAAAGAATTAATGATTCGTTAACACCAAAATTTAAGTGTGGATATTTTTAATGTATGAAAACATAACAGTTACTATTTGTCAGTTAATTTTCAAACAGATGTTTATGAATAAATTTTTCTATTTTTTGTCTGGCCTGAAACAATTCTTTCTATTACAGTCAGAAGTTTGATTTTTCCATAATTTCTTAGGTGCTTACTTAAAAACAAGTAAATCTAATGTGATAGTTTCTCTCAAAATGTAGATCTGTGATGTTTTTGTTGGACGATATTTAGGTTATGATTATTGTCATTATTTTTTTCCCATCATATATTCATATGTGATGATTAACATGCATTTATTTATTTATTTTGCTTTTGGATTTTCTCTTTCATTGATTTTTCATTTAGGGACAAGGTGTTTCTAAATTTCACTTTGTAATTCTATAAGTCGTACGTCGTTGTCATTTCAAAATACAGAAACAATTTATTGAAAATTTAACAGGTTAATAATTAATTACTTAATTAAAAGTTACTAATTAACTTGAGTTTTTTAAAATGTTTTTATTATAAATAATTATTTTATTTTTAAATTGGAAAGTTCCCAGTTACCCAATAATGATTAATTTCCTATGCACTATATTTCAAAATGCCCATGATGTAACCTTTTTATAAGCTACCTTGAGCGTTGAAATTCTTGGTCGACCATTCGCTTTATCTTGCACAGTTATTAGTTAGTTACTTTAAGACTTACGAGTGAACATACCAAAAATTCCTTGAAACACACACACACGACCAAGTTTTTTTTTTAATCGTTTTTAATTAATTAGATAGATCTCTGTGTAGTTGTATAGAGTTTAACGACAAATTAAATAGAATTTTTTTTATAGTTTGATAAAGAATTGTTCATTGGGTTGTATTTTAAGTTTGTTTCAACACTCTTTTTTTTTTCAAAAAAAAATTAAAATCGTCGACAGGATGAACATGTTTATAATTTTTTATTTCAAAGAAAATTGATTTGATACATCTAACGAAAGGAATACGAGGCGAGGCCATTGTTGTTTCTCATCGGAACTTGGATATAAATTACGAAACTATTTATTCCTCCGGTCCTAAATGTAAGACTCTTATATACACTAGTATAAGGGTCGTACATTTACACACTAGTATAAGGGTCTTACATTTAGGACCGGAAGAGTATCTTTTTTTTTTAACTGAAAAATATTTTTTGGCCGTGAATTTTTAAGTATGAAATTAAAAGTTCCGTACTTATAAGGATTTTTTTCTCCCTTAAGTGAAACATGACGGGAAAAAAATATGAAAAGAAAAAAAGTAATGAAATTGTTTTATCATTGAAAGTTGAAACTAGGTAGATTCCCCTACGTGGGGATGCCAAGATTCAAATCATAACGTCTCTTCTGGCGAAAGGGCAAAAAAAATATCCCCATGGTTCTTCGGGGAAGCCGCTGAAACACACGACGTCGTTTCGTTCCCCAAACTAGAACCAAATTGTGCCGTGGTAATTTACTAATTTCACCCCCGGGAAAAAATGGAGAAGGAGAATACTTGTAAGAGATACGTTGACCGTAGAAACATACGGAGTGACTTGCGTATTTTGTATCCGATTGCGTCGTTTTCTCAGCTAATCTCTGAAAACGCCATGTCCCTCTCTCTCTTGCGGAGGCATAGCGTCCCTCTCCCTCTCCCTGTTTCTCTCTGTACTTTCTCGTGTTCTCACAGACTCAAACCTGCACACACTTCACAAGCTCCATCACAAACACACACAGATTCTCGCTTTGTTTCGCTCTCCCTCTGCCCCCCTCTTTACCCCTCTGTCTCTGTATCTATCTTCGTTGCTTTCTCCCTGGGGATATTTATGCAGGGAGCAATACTCTATCTGGATATCTGAGTGGCCCACACTCGCCGGAGAAGATGAAAGTTTCAGGCAAGTCTCAACACCCACCAAAATGTTCGGAGAATATTCTTTCGAGGACTCGAAATCCGTCACCGGACTCAGATCTTCAGCCTCCCAAGTCGTCTCACCGACGAAAACCCAGAACCCCATTGGCCCGGTTTAGGAAAAATGGTGCTCCTTTGGGTCGACGGAGCCGACCTGAAACCCCTTTACTGAAGTGGAAGACCGATGATAAAGGGAAGAACAAAGATCCACTTGACGAGGATGAGAAGTCGGATGCTGGATGCGGCAGGAGAGCCAAAGGGAAGAAGCAAAGAGAGGCGAGCGTGTCTGTTAGGAAGCTCGCCGCTGGGCTGTGGCGGTTGCAGCAGCCGGAGATGGCGCCGGCTAGGTCGGGACGGCAGGTAGCTTCAGTATTGCTTTTGGATTTGTGTTTTTGTTTACTATAGATCCGTAGCATTCATTCTCATGTCTATGTTTCTTGCATTAGCTGCTTTTGATTGAAGTTCTGTTTTGCAGCATTGAGCTAATTTATCCTCATCATTGTCTCATCATTGGGAGTAAATACATTCAAGATTTGTTTTTTTCCTGATTTGATTGTTGCTTGATGTTGAAGTCTATGGTTGACTTTTGAGATTGGATCTTTATCATCATTCTCCAAGCTACTTTTTGTGTTTTGCCATATATTGGACTTCCAGAGGAAGATACTGAACTGTCTTTTCGAGCTTAAAAAGTTATGTCTAGTTCATTGGTTTCGAGTTCTACTGAAAAACTTCTTACGAGTTACGACCTTACTGTTCTTTAATGTTATGTAAAATGCAGTTAGGGTTTACCTGTGGACATGGGTAACCTAATATTTACTTGATTTCTATGAAATATCTTTTTCCCCATTCTTTGATGTTTATTATCTCCAGTTGCTGCCGTTCCACTTAATTTATTTGGATGCATTTTATAATTTAAGCATGACTTCATTGGGATCCTTTTTTCTGCATCCTTTATGCACCAGGATCTGTTATTAGAAATCAGAGCATTTCTGTTAGTATCAGAGAATTTCTTTTCCTTGTTGCTTGGTATTCTTGTGCCATATTTTTCAATGTGGTTAGCATCATTTGCATACTCATTGTGTTTTTACTCCTCAACAGCATGGAATTGGCCATGGAGGTCACCGGTTTCCCAATCATCAAAATGGTGTTATCAATGGTTCTGATCTGAACAATGTATTACAAAGCCCTCGTTCCATTGTTGGTGCAAAGAATGGACACTTCTGTGAGGTATGGTATTTTTTATTTCTCAATTGAAGTACTTAAAGTGTCCATAGTTCCTTGTGCTTGAACATTATTGAGTAAAGGGCGTAGAGTCACAATTTTCTTCTATACTGCATTGTGATCTCCTTGCCTGACCAGGCATGTGAGGACCAACTTTAAATCAGTAGTTTACTCCCTGTGCAAAAGCCACTTGAGATGTGCTTCCAATTATAATATCATGAGCAATGTGCAGTTGGTGATTTGCTAGTGTTGAAATGAAACATACATTAAGGACCTGTTCGTCTGCACCAGTACACACGTGCACATCCAAGTACAGTTTGACATAACAGTAATCCCTAATGGAAGCTTTAAATTGACAAGTAGAAATGATATAGAAGAGCTTCTGGTGAAAGAGCATGCGTTGAAGTTTTAATTGACTTTTTTAGTGTTGCTTAGATTCATGATGTGTGAAGTTCGTTTAGGCTTTCATTAGAAGGGCATGGATTGTTATCACACTTCTTTTAATGTAAGCTCACATGTTGAAAGTAGCATTTAAAATATCAACCATAGGAGGACTTTTTTTGTGGGGTATAATAAGAAGCTTGAAATGCTGATCTCAATTCTTCAATTTTTCAGCTTGAGCCATCTTTCCTTCTTTCCAACTCTGCAATGGAGGGGGCAACAAAGTGGGATCCTGTCTGCTTGAAAACCCTTGATGAGGCGCAACATATCTACAACCAAATGAAACTTCTTGATCAAAAGGTGAGCGCTGTGTCTGTCGTTTCTGCTCTTGAATCTGAACTTGACCAGGCTCGAGCACGCATTCAAGAGCTTGAGACTGAGCAGCACACCTCAAAAAAGAAACTTGAGCATTTCTTGAGGAAAGTAAGCGAGGAAAGGACATCATGGAGAAGCAGAGAGCATGAGAAAATCCGTGTGTACATTGATGACATTAAAGCAGAATTAAACCGAGAAAGGAAAAGTCGCCAGAGGACTGAAATTGTCAATTCAAGGTTAGTGAATGAATTGGCAGATGCTAAATTATCAATTAAGCGTTGTATGCAAGATTATGAGAAGGAAAGAAAGGCCAGAGTATTGATTGAGGAAGTATGTGATGAGCTTGCTAAAGAAATTGGAGAAGACAAGGCTGAAGTTGAAGCATTGAAAAGGGAATCTATGAAACTTAGAGAAGAAGTGGAAGAGGAGAGGAAGATGTTGCAGGTGGCTGAAGTATGGCGCGAAGAACGTGTTCAAATGAAATTAATAGATGCAAAAGTTGCTCTTGAAGAGAAATACTCACAGATGAATAAACTTGTAGCAGATTTGGAGAGTTTTTTGAAGTCAAAATGTGCAGACTTCGATCCAAAGGAGATGAGAGAGGTACAGTCACTTCGACAGGCTGTGGCTGCAGTGAACATACAGGATATCAAGGGATTTTCGTATGAACCCCCTAATCCAGACGACATTTTTGCCATTTTTGAAGAAGTAAACGGTGGTGAACCCGCTGAAAGGGAGATTGAACCTTGTGTTGCTTATTCTCCAGCTAGTCGTGCATCAAAGATTCACACAGTGAGCCCTGAAGCCAATATGATAGCTAAGGATATCATGCAGAGATGTTCAGATTTATACATGGATGATAACGGAGAGATAGAGGATGAAAGTGGATGGGAAACTGTAAGCCATATTGAGGATCAAGGCTCAAGTTATTCACCAGAAGGTAGTGCTTCTTCTGTGAACAAGAATCACCACCGAGAGAGTAATGTCTCAGGAAGTGTGCTGGAGGAATGGGAAGAAAATTGCGGTGACGAGACCCCAATAACTGAAATCAGTGAAGTCTGCTCGGTTCCACCAACCAAGCAAACAAAAAAGGTCTCATCCATAGGAAGGATTTGGAAGTCATGCCCAAACAATGGGGAAAATTATAAGACAGTCTCAGTGGATGGTGTCAATGGTAGGCTTTCAAATGGAAGGTTATCTTGTGGTGGCCTCATGTCACCTGATCGGGGATCCAGTAAAGGCGGGCTGAGCCCCAGAGATCTTTTATGCCAGCTGAGTTCTCCCGAGTCAGGAAATCCGCACGGACATCGAGGTATGAAGGGATGCATTCCTCGCAGTACGCAGAAGAATAGTCTGAAAGCCAGGCTTATGGAGGCTCGGATGGAAAGCCAGAAACTCCAATTGCGCCATGTACTCAAGCAAAAGATATAGATTTAAGCAGAAGCAGAATTTGCTGGCCATTGTATCTGAAGAATGATTAACAGGAGGCAGTTCATTTAATTTAGCACTATGGAAAGTACAAGCATCTTCCGGAAGCTGTGCTACAAGGAATGAAGGGCCATGAATAAACTCACATTCCCCACCTCAGACTGTGGCCATATCATGCCTTGGTTCTTCAATATAATCCCAGGCTAGGCACTGAGCAGATAGTCTTTTCCAACCCAATGTACCTGATTGCCTCAATACAATGGAATAATCTGGACTGGGAAATAGCCCTGTTTTGTAATCTGTCTTGATTTTGTGCAGGATCCTAGCAAAATCTTAGGGAAGCATGTTGCTTTTAGTGTATAATTTATGTCTGAGGACAAATATATCAAATGAGGAATTAGATTATCACGCAGCATTGATGGCACCGGTATTCTGTATATTATGTTTTCTGTGGAGCAAGAGTGGTTCAGATGCATTGAACTAAGAAAGAGACAACTGGAAAAATGAAACCAAAAAAAAAATAAATTTCGACAATAGTATTGATATGATGTGATTAAATTATGATATATTATTTAGTCTTAAGTATAAGAGCTGGTTGATTAATTTGAGGAGATTAAGAAAATAAGTTAAGTTAGTTATTTATAATAAATAGGTGTTTTTTTTTTAAAATATCTTTGTTAATCAAGTGTATTGGTTAGAACTATTATTATTAGAAAAATTATTTTTTTTTAGAAAAAATACATAAATATGAGAGATAAAGTGGATTAGGGTTTTATATTTAGAATCAAAATAAAAGTTAAACAGGGTCTTATATTAAAGACTGAAGGTAGTATTATATGTGGATTACGCACTGGAAAATGAAATTAGTATGTTACTTTAAATAACATGAAAATTATGGATATGCTATTTGAATACATGGAATATAAAATTATTATGAGGTAAATGAAAATTTACGAGAATAAAATTTTTTTCAAAAAGGTTTAATGATAATTATGATGAGACATATTTTGTAATGATGCAATAATTTTTGAATATTAAATATAATAATATATGTTCACCAAAAAGAAAATGTAATAGTTTATGAAAACAGGATGTTGTTACAGCGTATGTAAATGGCTCATTAAATATTGAAATTTACATAAAAGTGATTGCAAGATATAAATTGCCAGAGTCATGTCCAAAAGGATCGTTCAATGCATAAATGTTATATGAATTAAAATAATTTGTGCATATATCACTAACTCAAGAAAAATGCATCGGAAAAATGAACAACTTTATATTTTACCCGTCTTGTAGATGAAATCATTGAATATCCAAATGAATTCAAAATCATATCACTTTGTATGCAACAATGAATCAAATGGGTCTAAAAGCATTATATATTTATGGCAATAGTTATATATCTTGTTAATATCATATTTGCAATAATTGTGTTGGCAAAACTTAGGTTTTTGTAAGTACACAAATACATATTGAAATAGATATTTAATTTGATATTTTGAGAAATCATTACACGATGTCATTTTATTCTAAACAAATTGAACATAAAAAAACAAATATAATTAATACTCATTGAAATTTCAAAATGAAAATTATTTAAAAATCTAAAATGGAAAATTTTTTTTAATAAAAAGTTCGAATGTGTGTTAAAATGATAAAAAATAAAGAGATGATATTATATTTTTAAAAATTCATCTATCCTTCAATTTATATTGTTATAGCTGGATTTAAATACAAGTGAGTCATCTATGCAGCTATATATCATTCTTCTTCATTTGCAGTGGTATTCTCTTATCTAATAATAATATTTACGCTTTTTTATTGAAAAAAATTATATAACAATGGGTGAAATCCGGACGGACCGAACTGGCCAGCCCGCGTTTTACTTCCACGGTTTCACCCAAACCCTCGCTCACCGACCCGCCAAATTATTCTACTTTCATCAATTCCCTCCATTTTCTTCTCAAATTCAAAACCCAACTCTTCGGATCTTTCGTTTACATTTCATCTTTCACTTCCCATTCCGTGTAGTTCTGCTTCGATGGCAGATTGTGAAGCTCCCTCCTTCTCTCTCGGTCTTGATTTGGATCACACTGTCGATGAATCAGCTCCTCGTTCTCCGCTCAGTCCTACCCGTGCTTCTGCGCGCGCGGAGGATGAGGAAGGCTTCGGCCCCGATGTGGCCGAGTCCGACCCGGATATGGCTCCTGACCCACCACCTCGGATTCTGAAGAGGCTACGCCGAGGGCCAGGTGATGGGTCGGCGTCGTCCGTCCAGAGGCAGAAGGGGCTTCCGTCGGGTTTTGACGGTGATGATGATATCGAGGATTTCTCTGACGAGGAAGACCTTCACGGTAACAGCTTATACCTTGTCGCCTCTCTTTCTATCTGCTCTTCTTGTCTTGGATTTCGTAATAACGTTTCTCAAAAGAGGAGGTTCCCTTGATTGGAATGGGTCAGTACTTTGTTGTGCATTTATTGATCTTTTTATATAGTCGGGAGGCAGGGAAAATATTGAAAGAAGTCTCATTGAATTAATACCTGTTTCGAACTGAACTTAATAGCGTTCCCGAAGGAGAAGGTGGGGGTTTGGAAATTCTCTTTCCTTCGATCCTTCTAGTTTTGCATCACTATTCGGTGGTTCTTTAGGATATATGATTTGAGAACTACTTCATTAGTTCAAGTAATTAGGCCTCTCTAGGTGTTTAGAATCATTTAGGTCTTCAAGGGATGCAGCCATATAAATTGTTATCACCTTTTAATACAGTGAAATACCAAACCCTATCGATTATAACATCTGTTAATGGACATGGTTCGATGAACCCCATATTTCAGTCCTTGCATTATAGTTACTCTTCCCTGTGTGCAAATTTCAAATCATATTTTGATTTGCTTATGCTTTATTTGTCACTAAATTTATTGTGTTTCTTCCATGTCAGGTCAAGCACGCCCATCAAAATGGAATCAACCTTTATGTAGCAGCTCCAAAGTTTCATTGAATGGGTCTGGAGTTTTAACTACTCATTCATCTGGAAACTGCAAACAAAGAAAAATAAAAGAATCTTCAGGAGGTGTCCTGGGTTCTGCCACGATGGAGATGGGCCAGAGTGGGTTGATGTTTCCAAAGTTGACAACTAGTCCTCTTCGTAGGTTTCAGTTACTTGATTCTGATTCTGATTCTGATGAGCCTGTAAGTGAAGATGTTAGGGGTGGCCACAAGATTGATCCATGCTTCAAGGAACCATCATGTAAGTCAAGCGAATTTGTAACTTCTTTTGACCAAAGTAGAAAAGCATCAATTAGGAGGCACCAAAATCAGGATCTATGGAAAGATTTCTCTCCAGTGAAGAGCTTTTCAATTCCAACACCTGCACTGAATGAGGTTTGTGAAGAATACTTCCGTTCTGCAATAGACAAAGACATGGAAACACCAGTATCAACAAGTCACAATGAGAGCTTGTTTGAGTCCACCAGCTGTCAAAGGAATGAACAAATATGGAATTCAGCTTATCCACCTCCTCCAGCCCATCAATATTTTTTCCACAAGGATCCAAGAATTAGGCAATTAGTTCGAAGTCGCCTGTGCAATTTTTATCCGCTAGGTGTTGACAAAGTGAACCACCAACCTAACGCATCACATATTGATTACATGTACATTCTGTCGACTTTTTATCTGACCATTGGCATCTATTGGTATTAGTTTTAAAAATGATAGACTAATCTCTGGAGGCTATGATGCATTATGGGTTTATTTTGATTTCAGGGGACAATTTGGCAATGGAGAAGCTTCCAAAAGAAAGGAAGTTCGGAATGGTTGTGTTGAGAAAAGTTCGACTAGAGGAAGAAAGAAACCAAAAGAAGTGGCTGTTGAAGAACCTGTTCATGCTTCTGGGGGCTGGGTGACTCCGAAAATTAATTCTTCTTTAGACGGTGGGGAATCTTCTAAGAGGACAGCAGCCAAAAGAAGTAAAACAAAAACTTTGTCAAAAGGAAAAAGTAAAGCAAACATGCCTGCTTCTTCAGAAATCTTGCATGCTTCTGCAAATTGGGTGGAACCAAAGAACTGTGCCAACAGGCCGAAGGATGCAGGCAGAAGACGTGTTCAAGCAAAGGGTAAATCTGTGGGTCATTGGTTTACGGCATCAGATGGAAGAAAGGTGAGGCCAGACTGATACTTTCATATTTTGTTTAGTGTTTTTAATGTGGTCAACTAATTGAAATTATTCACTTGACTGATGGCACATTCAGGCCATAGAAATGATGTCTACTGATTGATTAAAAAATGGTAACTTTATGATTATCATGTGAGGAAAATCCTTCTTGTATGCTGTTAAGGATACTAATGGATATAGTGAAATGTAGGAGCATCACGTATCATGATTTTTGTCTTCGGTGGAAATAGTGCTGTGTGATTTGATCCTTGGAATTCCTTTCTAGTATAACACAATGCCCTTAATTTACCTTTGTATATGCCAACATCTAGACAATAACTAATTTGTTACTCTCATTCTGCCTTTTTTTTTTTTTTTTTTTTTTTTTGGGTCTGGCATTCTGTAAGATACCATTGCTTCAATTGCTATATATTTTAATATGTAGCACTAGGTTGGCTATTCTACTCTTCTAGTTCTTAATGTAAGATCTCATTAATTAATTGAATAGATTAAGAATGTTAGTTAAATTATTTAATATGATATGTTTTTTCTAAGACACTTAAGTATCTTTCTTAATTCCCTCCATCCCTCTCTTATTTGATCATTATTGGGGAATATCAATAAGGTTAATTTGGAAAAAAATTGATAAACATGTTGAATAAGTCTTACATATAGGACTAATATTAACTCCCTAATTAGATCCTACATTAAGGACTGAAGAGTATTTTTTATAATCAATGCATAATGGATAGTTTTTGGTTATTGCTTTTCAAATTTCTCAATACTGCTGACAGTTATGCTCACTGCGTGGTATGGCTCTTCTAACCACCAGCAAACTTCTCCATGTCCAAATGTAGTTGTTATGTTTTGATGAAGGTTTAAATGTTAAATTTTGATGGCTTGTACAGCAATATATTAGACTGTCTTCACTATTTGAACATATAATGGCAATAATGCTAATGCTGCTGGCTTGCATTTATCTTGTAGTTATCATTAATTGAAATTTATCAAGTGAATGGCTTAAATATGCGATTATTAGTTCAAAGCATAGTTTGGCATATTACGTGAGATCTTGATCCTCTGTTCATTGCAGGTATATGTCACCAAAGATGGGCAGGAGTTGACAGGCCGAGCTGCTTATAGGCATTATCGGAGGGTAAATGTGAATTGCATCCTCTAGTGATTGCTGTATTTGTCGGATGGATCTGGCTCTGAATGACTTTGAATTTTGCAGGAAAGTGGGTCAGGATTCAAAAAATCAAAGAAGGGAACCAGTGCCAAGAAGAAAACGAACTGAATCTTAGTGTAAAGCCGTTGGTTCCTGTCTGTCTTTCCCACATCTGCACATTAGTCATAGATCTCATGGCAAGATTTTGGTTCAATTACCACCGGGTTCTTTTTATGTGTTGAGGAAATTGGCAAACAGCTAGTTAACACGCGCGGAATCTGATTCGGGGCTCTTGTTGCATGGTGAAGTGACCGGGATAAAATTCACACAAACAATTCCCTGTCATCTAAGGCCATTTGATGTCGACCGAATTCCCTATGCCGAGTTCTTCTAGAGCTACCCAAGTGGTTCTGTAGATTCTAGAGTTGTGGTCCTACTGGTCAACAGTGCCCAACAAAGATGGACCAAGGCCCTAGATTGTCTGAAATTTCTTCTCATGCATGTATATTTCCAGATGTGGACGTCTGGGATGTTGAATTTCCTGATAATCATGAATGTTCTATGCAGTTTCAATGCTTTTTAGCAGCTCAAGAACATGGCAGACTAAGAGTTGACTTGCAAGCCAGAAAGTTGATGACCAATAGGATTTTGTCTAAAGTCATCATTGATGTCTTAATCCAGGGGGACCGAAGCTTAAAAGAAACTGGCAAGAAAAGTTGAAGAATTGCATGTTGAAGTGGTAAGTTCAGTGGTTTTGATTTAATTTGTGACTGGGATTCAGTTGAGAATGTGAAGTATGAGCTCAAGACTCAGGTACATACAGGCATATCAGCAAATAACTTGACTAACCAAGGTAGACGAAGTCAGGCAGGCAATGGGAGGAACTAAAAATCAGACTACAAAAATGAATACACGCGCTCATATGTGCATGTATAAGCATCCCCCTATACGTGTATTCTCTTCAGAAGTGCCTCTCGCAAAGACGAAAGGGTCCTAGAATACTTATAATTGTTTTTGTTCGGTTAGAACATTCTTTAGAATTGTTGACGCACGACAAGCATCATAAAGAAGGCTGTTTATAAATTTTGTCACCAAAAAAAAGGCGGTTTGCTGCTGGCAATTTCATTTTCAATTTTTTATATATAAATATATATCATTTTATTTGGTAAATAAAAATTTTGAAACAGAAACCCAAAATTAAACTAAGCTTTTTTTTTTAACCAAAAATTTAAACTGAACCTTGGAGATAAGCATTGCATGACAGTTGAAGCAGTTGTTCGTTACTTAATCCATTCCTTTCATTATATGTCTGATTTTATTATTATAGGAACGCTATTGCTTTTGGTGTTAATTCGTCAACAGTTAACTAGAGTTGCATGGTAAAGATGGATAACATAACATTTGCCTCAAGAACACTATACGTAATCCTAAATAGTATAAAGCACAATTTTATTGATAACTTCGTCGCCAAGTATTTGCTCAACTGGTTTGAGTTGGATGGACATCAGAAAAAGGTACAGTGGACAACTCTAGATGTGCCAACAGAAATGAGAGAACACAAAAATGAGTTGCAAGCTTTAGAACACACAAATATTTGATCCATATAACCTAATCAATCCACCTACTTGAACCTATTCACTTTCCAGAACAAAAAGACAAAGAACCAGAAAAGAAAAAGAGAAAATTTAGTCAGGAGTATAATGAAAATTTGTGTCTTTGCCTATCAATATCAAGAGATTCATCAAAGGTGACTGGAAGTATCTGGCTTGTCTTTGCCTTTGTCCTCTGGAACTGTTGACGAACCCTTGGATCCCAGCACCTGTTGGCACAACCTGACAGCCACAAATATAACATTGATGATAATCTGAAATAAAATCATGATGACCCGGGTCCAAAAAAAAAAAAGAAAGAAGTAAAATCATGATGACCGACATGTAAGAGAGCGGAACAATGTTTTCTACACACACACACAATGCTATCCTACACGTTATTTATGGGGCGATTGCTTAGAGATCGACGATCTCCAAGATTGACTTTTCACTATTCCACCTAAAAACGCTAAGATTTAGGTTATTTTACCATTGACATAAATTTTCCTAGCAGTATGACCCATGCAACAGGAAATAACGAGTATCAAATAGGGTAACAGAGAGATCAAGCATCATACAGTTTCAAATCCTCCGCCTTGCTTTTAATATCACTTGACCATATAATTGGGTCATTGTCCTTAGGCAAGGAATCTTGTTGCTGTAATTTCTCTCTCAGCCACTGCTCTGCTTTATCGCACTCGTTTATGATCTGAAACAACAAAGCCAAATTACTTTGGATTTTGAGCAGACTCGCTATAATATCTACTGGCTTGCGTATTGACGTACCAATTCTTTATGCTGGGGAAGGAGGGAATCTGCAGACTTGCGGTGATCCACAATGCACTTCAACAGATCTCTTGTAGCTTGTGCTCTTGCTTCTTCATCTTTATACCGATTCTCAATTGGATCCACAAGCTACAGGAATTAAGATATATATATATATTATGATTATGATGGGAAAAAATGCATGGGTATAAAAAGACAAGCAGCAGCATTGGAGAAGTAAAATTAAACCTTCTTTATATCTTCTAGTCTTTCTGAGTAAGCCACCTCAGTTTCATCATCACCACCTCATAAAGCCACTCTTCAGTCTCTTGCAGACTTCTAGATATGCCTTCCCTCTCTTGGTCACTTGCAAAGCTCCGGTAGGTGTCAAAGAGCTATCCATATATGCAATTATATAGTTTATATTTAAATCAAAGCCCATCAAGAAAATAGACGCATACGTTTTAAAAGCTTGTATATGACAAGTAGCATGGAGAAAGACGTAAAAATGTTTGACAGGAATGGGTGTTCAACTCATGGCATCCACAGCTTGGCACTCTACACAGTCTCAAAAACCAGTTCTTCACTAACTACAGAACAGGGTATCTCATTTGATAAACTTATTAGTCTCACCGTTTCAGAAAAATGAAAGAGAGATCTGTCAGTATCAAGTAATTATGACCACATGAAAAGCAAAACCATGTATCAAAGGAGATGAATTGGATGACTGCATGAATAATATACCCTGAATAACAAACCAGTCATATGTGTACGTCTCATGAACACAAGTAGGTACCTTACTCCTCATCTCGTAAATATAGGACTCCAAGCTATTCTTCTTTTCTTTGGTTCGCTCCACAGCTCTGTCCTGTTGAGTCAACAGGAGCTCTTTGTCATGAGCTTCCAAGATCTCAGCCTTGGTCATTCCACCATAGATGTTCTCACTCACTGGCACATGTCTTTTGGTAGTTTTATCTTTCCTCACAGAATCAGCCTGAAAAGGCACAGTAGTCAAATTTTCACTCCAAAGTTCTAACATCCATATAAATGATATCTGTGACCCAATCCATATCCAAGTAGGAAAAAAACAGGGACATGCTATCAACAGAAGACAAAATTTCGCTCCAGAAAAAAATGAATTAAAAACAAAAATATTTATTGCATGATTCCATACAAGAAAAATAATCAGAGGCAGAGAGATGACAATAATACTCACAGATTTATGAGAAGATTCATCCTTCTATTGTTAGTGTCCTCACCATTTGCTACTGTCTCATTAGTGATAGGGTCAACATCCATTGATTCATTATTTGAATGGTCATTACCCTTTATACCATCTACCTGATCTTCAAGCATCTGAAACCATGAAAAGTTTATGCACATCACAATAGCTCTGAGAGTAACAAAAAATGGACAGAGATCAAAATGAGGCTTCTTACTTACTGTAGCTGATTCGACAGTGACAATGCCATGCAGATTTAGTTGAACTCTAACTTTAATCCTTGTCTTACTGCCATGGGACCCATGGAAAGGACCAATCTACATAGAAATGGCCAGTGAATACATAAGCAAATAACGAGGAGAAGGCATGACGAAGAAACAATGTATGACAAAGCTATAGTGTAGCACGAAAAATGGAAACGCCTAGCAACCAATCAGAACTGTTACTCTGTAGTCCTCAAAAAATCAACAAGATGTAAGCATGCAGATGTAGCATGACAACTAACGCATCATGCTACATCTAGGATAATTAGGACAAGGGATGGCAGTATCAATGTCCTGTAATATCAAAGATGGTTTTGTCTAATGAAAATGTTATTAGACAGAACCAAAATTATAGCTTGTCATTTTACTGCATGATCAATTTTGGATAATTATTTGAGATGATGTTACATCTATTGCATTTCCTCATGCTCCAAAATACATCATGATTACAACAAATGCATACATGCATAAAGAAGGTTCATTTGGACTGCAATATTTTGTAACTCAGCCCCTATTGTACTTTTAAATAAGAATATGGGAGTTTAATAGCTAATGAAATTGACCCCTTGTTGAAGAATAAGAAAAGGGATTTTGTTGATTCGCATGAGCTTAAGATCCACAAAAAGTGATGGTCTTTGATGCATCCAAGGAAACTAGATTAGACCAAACACTTGGTGATGGTTGCATGAAAAAATGTACAACATTTAAACTAGATTATCGACTGCAATAATTTTACAGCTCAAAAGTGGGAAACTATAGAGGTGATCATCGTAACAAATCTACCATTACCCAAATGCAATTTTTTTCTTGAGAAATTAGAATGTTCTATAAGAATCATTGAGCTCATGGAAGCTATGTTGCTATATTGCACACCTTTTACACACCCAAAATAGATAAATGAAAAAAAGGACATAAAGAAACAGGCCAAGGATGGCCAAAGAAGTCAGTTAAAGCTCGGGCACATGCACACATGAAAGATCTGAAGTCCTTCACGTTAGTAACATGTTTAGAGTAAGGGTAGTGGTAGTGCATACCGTGAAGCAACTGATTTTAGGAGATGTCCCCGGTGGCAGTTCATTTGGATTAGCATAGAACGCTTCCAAATGGAACAAACTACTTCGGTGAAATGTTAGAACTTTAACACTTGGAATGGATTGCCCCTTTGGGAAAAGTATGCCATTTGATACTGCACTAATTGGACCATCATCTGACGAAAGTCCAATGGAGAATGGATTTAAATCCAGGACCTGTAAAAAAAAAAAAAAAAAAAAAAAGTTACTAACCTTTAAG